TTTTTTTTTATATTTAAAAATTTTTTTAAAAATTTAAATATTTTTTAAATTTTTTTTTATTTTTTTTTTTTATAAACTTCTTTTTTTTATTTTACTATTATTATTTTATTCGTTTTATTTTTTTATTTTTTTTTGGGGGGGGGGGGTATATTTTTACCCAAAAATTTATTGTATAAACTGTTTTATACTAGACGCCAACCGAATTTCGGTTTCGGTGCCGGAAGTTGCCATTTCATCATTTTTTGCGTAGTTTCGGTTGAAAACGAAACAGACGAGTTAACTTTCGGTTTATTTTCAGTTTCAGCGGAACGTGATTAAGGCTTTCGGTCCTCTACCAGAAGTCATGGTGTCACTCTGTTTGTCGGCCGGGAATACGACATTCCCTATTGCTCGATGTTGCATGATATATGACTAATCCTCCGCGAACACTGCTCACAGCTGCATGCTGACCTACTTGTCCACTATTTCCAAAAAAATAATATTACAATTGAGCTGATGCAAAAGTAAATAATTTGTGGAGTGAAAACTAATGGATTGGTAATATTTATAGACATTTTTTTGGGTGAAAAATAAAATTTTGGAACCGTATCATGCGCAATTCGGACAGCTTTTTGTCGATAGTGACGTCTTTGAGAGTAAGATAAAAGAATTGGCGACATGACGTCATTGACGTATGCAAGGCAACACGTGTAGCTATTGACGTCTTTGAGAGTAAGATAAAAGAATTGAAGACATGACTTCATAGACGTATGCAAGGCAACACGTGTAGCTATCGACGTCTGAGAGTAAGCTAAAAGAATTGGTGACATGACTTCATAGACGTATGCAAGGCAACAGCTATATCTCCGGGGGGTAGTGCCCCCCCCTGGGAAAGCCAAGTGCTTCCATAAGCAAAAATATTTCCGACTTGTATTGTTCTTTGCAAACGCAAATTCGACCATGCTAAAACACTTCTGAGAGTGCTGCACTGGCTGCCGGTCCACGCTCGCATAGAGTACAAAATTGCAACTTTGTGCTATCGCTGCTTACATGACCTGGCGCCGTCTTATCTCAAAGCACTCATGACGCCTTATGTACCCACTAGACAGCCCCGCTCATCCGATAGTGGCAAAATATCGATACTGTGTGTCCGCCTTGAGACTTAAGGAAAGCGTGCTTTTGCATTTGCCGGCCCAACAATTTGGAACGTCCTTCCAGTCGCTCTCAGAAACAGCCAGACACTGGAGTCCTTTAAAACTGATTTAAAGACACATCTATTTCTCAAACACCTTCTGGGGTGATGCTATCTACCATCTTTTTTCAGTTAATGTATATTGGCTTGTGTTGCCTATGGTTGAAATGGGATGAAAGACTTTGACTTTGTATGCTCGTATGTAGTTTTATATTGTTGCGTCTGTTTTTTTAAATGTTGTAAATTTTAGATTGTTTTTATTTCTCTTTTTAATATGGTTGACTTTGTACCGCGCTTTGAGCTTTTGGAGATGAAGCGTGTTTTTCAAATAAACTTTATTATTGTTATTATTATTCTTTTAACAATTCCCGATAATCTCATTTTTTATCAAAAGAATATGAATTTCCATACTTTCCCCGATCATTTTTTGAAGTCCGCAGAACGTATGCACGAACAAGTTTCAAAGTATCTAAATATTTCCGTTTCTGCCAAAAGTCTCGTTAAACTGTTGGTTTCAGCTACGGTTGCTGTCGAAATCAGAAAGTCACATTCAGTCTGTCTCTATTCCACACTTGTGTCAGACTATGACTGTCCACACTAAAGTCAGACTATGACTGTCCACACTAATGTCAGACTATGACTGTCCACTTCAATGTCAGACTATGACTGTCCACACTAATGTCAGACTATGACTGTCCACACTAATGTCAGACTATGACTGTCCACACTAATGTCAGACTATGACTGTCCACACTAATGTCAGACTATGACTGTCCACACTAATGTCAGACTATGAATGTCCACACTAATGTCAGACTATGACTGTCCACACTAATGTCAGACTATGACTGTCCACACTAATGTCAGACTATGAATGTCCACACTAATGTCAGACTATGACTGTCCACACTAATGTCAGACTATGACTGTCCACACTAATGTCAGACTATGACTGTCCACACTAATGTCAGACTATGACTGTCCACACTAATGTCAGACTCTGACTGTCCACACTAATGTCAGACTATGACTGTCCACACTAATGTCAGACTATGACTGTCCACACTAATGTCAGACTATGACTGTCCACACTAATGTCAGACTATGACTGTCCACATTAATGTCAGACTATGACTGTCCACACTAATGTCAGACTATGACTGTCCACACTAATGTCAGACTATGACTGTCAACACTAATGTCAAACTATGACTGTCCACACTAATGTCAGACTATGACTGTCCACACTAATGTCAAACTATGACTGTCCACACTAATGTCAGACTATGACTGTCCACACTAATGTCAGACTATTTACTGTCCACACTAATGTCAGACTATGACTGTCCACACTAATGTCAGACTATGACTGTCCACACTAATGTCAGACCATTTACTGTCCACACTAATGTCAGACTATGACTGTCAACACACTAATGTCAGACTATGACTTTCCACCCTAATGGCAGACTATTTACTGTCGCCACTAATGTCAGACTATGACTGTCCACACTAATGTCAGACTATGACTGTCTACACTAATGTCAGACCATTTACTGTCCACACTAATGTCAGACTATGACTGTCAACACACTAATGTCAGACTATGACTGTCCACACTAATGCCAGACTATGACTGTCCACACTAATGTCAGACTATGACTGTCCACACTAATATCAGACTATGACTGTCAACACTAATGTCAGACTATGACTGTCCACACTAATGTCAAACTATGACTGTCCACACTGTCAACACACTTATGTCAAACTATGACTGTCCACACTAATGTCAGACTGTGACTGTCCACACTAATTTCAGACTATGACTGTCCACACTAAAGTCAGACTATGACTGTCCACACTAATATCAAACTATGACTGTCCACACTAATGTCAGACTATGACTGTCCACACTAATGTCAGACTATGACTGTCCACACTAATGTCAAACTATGACTGTCAACACACTTATGTCAGACTATGCCTGTCGACACACTAGAGCCAGACTATGACTGTCAACACACTTATGTCAGACTATGAATTTCCACACTAATGTCAGACTATGACTGTCCACACTAATGTCAAACTATGACTGTCAACACACTTATGTCAGACTATGCCTGTCGACACACTAGTGCCAGACTATGACTGTCAACACACTAATGTCAGACTATGACTGTCAACACACTAATGTCAGAGTATGACTGTCAACACACTAATGTCAGACTATGACTGTCAACACACTAATGTCAGACTATGACTGTCAACACACTAATGTCAGAGTATGACTGTCAACACACTAATGTCAGAGTATGACTGTCAACACACTAATGTCAGACTATGCCTGTCAACACACTAATTAAAGACTATGACTGTCCACACTAATGTCAGACTATGACTGTCCACACTAATGTCAGAGTATGACTGTCAACACACTAATGTCAGACTATGACTGTCCACACTAGTGTCAGACTATGCCTGTCAACACACTAATGTCAGCCTATGACTGTCAACACACTAATGTCAGACTATGACTGTCCACACTAATGTCAGAGTATGACTGTCAACACACTAATGTCAGACTATGCCTGTCAACACACTAATGTCAGACTATGACTGTGCACACTAATGTCAGACTATGACTGTTGTTAATTCGGGAAGCGTTTGTTTAAACCAGCGGGTAACGTCATCAATCTGTAAGGGGACATCATTTGTCTAAAAGGAATTTCTGTCATGTCTCCTACAACGACGACCATTCACCCGAGAGGACGTTGGCTTGGCTTTCTGCTGTCTTACCTTTCACTTTATACTGCATGCCTGTGCTAGCTCTCTTCAAATAAGGAGTTCTCAATACTTCAGAATGGCATCTGAGTTGTTCGTGAAGTTGTTAGTGTTTCAAAAGGGAAATTTTTCTTAAGGCGTATTTTTCGTCTTTCTACTGGAGCGGAATTTCCTCTTAAATTTTCTTCGAATCTCTTGCTACCAGTGACAATCTACTTACTACCAGTGATCAAATAAAGATGGTAACAAAGTATCTTGATTTAATTATATGTTAACCTAATACAATAATGAGAATTATTAACATCCAAAGCGCATTGATCAAGGTCATATGAAAATGTTAAGTAAATGTTCATACTCCTTCGCGTAGCTTGGTAGGTCAGTGAAATTTGATTTGGTTGAAAAACAAAAATTCAGATAAAAACGAAACTTTGATTCGTTTGTATAAGAGCCCTGCGATCTGAGAATTAAATTCAAATGTCGTTGGTTTTTTGTTAAATTTTCGAAACACAATTTCCTGAGTGTGTTTCCGTTCACTGCCACCTCCTCTTCATAGTATGAGTGTCGTGTATCGATGATATGGCACATTTTGGTAATTGTTTGACAATATCACTCTCTACCCATGTTTCAAATGTAATACTCTCTATCCATGTTTCAAATGTAATACTCTCTACCCATGTTTTAAATGTAATACTCTCTACCCATGTTTTGAATGTAATACTCTCTACCCATGTTTTAAATGTAATACTCTCCACCCATGTGGCATGTTTTCTTGGCACACACAAAATATTTTCTTCAGACTACTTTATTTTATAATTAGTTTTAGTTTGTATGTTATAAAAAATAATGAACTTCATAGAGTTGGATTTTTTTTAATCATTGGAAAATCTTTTCTACTCAAATGATCATGATTGTTTTTACTCCCACGACTCCACTAAGCACAGATGTTGCCTCAAGTCACGTCTTGACTCAGATTACAAGGGAAAAATGAGTTTAACGATGTTATTTTACGGTAAGTTGTAAAAATCTGTTAAAACTATTCTAGTAAAACTTTAAGTTTTTCTTCAGGGAGGACACAATGCTCATTAGCCCCCAGGAAGGACACAATGCTCATTAGCACCCAGGGAGGACACAATGCTCATTAGCACCCAGGGAGGACACAATGCTCATTAACACCCAGCGTGGACACAATGCTCATTAGCACCCAGCGTGGACACAATGCTCATTAGCACCCAGGGTGGACACAATGCTCATTAGCACCCAGGGTGGACACAATGCCCATTAGCACCCTGGGAGAAGTTTGATGCCTCACAAAATATACCGTTATTGTTTAATGTAATTTTATAACAGGGATTCTCAACCTATTCTATACTCTAAATACCCTACAAATCGCGAGCACCCTGCTTGGGGAAACTCGTTCTCTAGAACTTATGTGAGGGTCATATATTTGTATTATTAAGTGTCCTTCTATATCACAAGAATGTGTTGATATATTTGAATTTTTACGTGTCCTTCTATATCACAGGAATGTGTTCATATGTTTGTCTTCATAAGTGACCTCCTATGACACATACGTGTGGTCATATATTTGTGTTGTTCTTTGTCCTGTAGCTCTTATGTGTGTGGCCGCCTTGCCCTGGGGGGGCATGGCCTGCTTCGATGAGTGCACACAGAAGTTTATTCAAGAGATGGGTCCATTTAATGACAACAGGACAGCCAACACCAGTGACATGGCCACCAGTACCAATGCCAGTCAGGTGACCGCCAATTTCTGCAGGTAGGACTCGCAAAATAAAATACGACAATCCTATTAATTATTAAATTATTCGTTACAAACTTATTTAAAATTCGACCGTCATTATTTGTACAACTCATGTCTTGAACTTCAGTGTCCAATGAGCAACATTTCCAGTTTTAACAAAATACACACTATCAAATGTTCAAAATATGCAGTCTCAAATTAACCATATATTCATGTAGATTAGGAAAACAAACATGAGCATTTATTAAACAAAATAAATAAGTGGAAGCTCTACTTGAACTACGCCAGCTAAACACATATTACATGTAAAGATTGCTTCAATCTAAACACATATTAAATGTAATACTTGCTCAAATCTGTACACATATTAGTTGTAATTATTGCTGAAGATAAAATTAAGGGAGCTGGTTGAAAACACCTAATGGATTAGGCCTGACTTAATGGGATTCATCATCATCATCATCCTCATCATCCTCATCATATCCCTTAGTCCTTGGACCGTTGGGGCGCCTCAGATGACATGTGAACCATCCTCCTCCATTCGTCTCTGTCTTCTGCACTATGCACAGCATCGCCAAGTGTTAGTCCTGTCCACTCTTGATGTTATCCTCCCACCTTTTTTTTTGTCTTCCTCTTCTTCTCCCTCCTCTTGTGGTGCCCTGCAATATTTCTTTGACAAGTTATTGTTTCCTTGTTACGTGGCCGTACCATTGTAGTTTGCGTTTTTCACAGTCACCAGTAGGTCATTGTACTCCCCAATAGCCTGGCGAACCCTTTCTTTCACTGTATCATGGGATTAGGCCTGACTTAATGGGATTAGGCCTGACTTAATGGAGTAGCATTTTTGTGTTTAATATTAATATTATAATGACCCACCAGCTTTTACACCACATATTTATTTCACCCACTACTGCAGAGAAACAAAAGAAAATATTACGCATCAAACGCATTTGTGATATTTTTTTTTTTTTAAGAATCTCATTTAGCGCAGTTATCGGGAATTTTATTTCGTGAAAACAGTGTCGTCATATTTCCTTCAATTTCCACTTGAAAATCAGAATAATCTTATTTTGGGGGGGGTAAGAATCTCATTTAGCGCAGTTATCGGGAATTTTATTTCGTGAAAACAGTGTCGTCATATTTCCTTCAATTTCCACTTGAAAATCAGAATAATCTTATTTTGGGGGGGTGGGTAGCGGGTGGGGCTGAACATCTTTTTAGAATGTGTTTTCATCGGCAACGAGTCTACGTGCCAATTTTCACTTCGATAGGTTAACGGGAAGTGGGTCAGTTAGCCGTCCAAAGTTTTGAAGGAAAAAAAACAACAACTAGTAGAAAACACACGGAAAAAAAGCAGCCAAGTTAAAATAAAGAATTTTAAAAATCTAACATTCTTGTCATAAAAGTATACCACCTTCTTCGAAAGATCCAGCGACTAAGTCCAACGAAACAATCTTTTTGTCCATGTCAACACTTCCTTTGTGCTTCTGTATTTCTACATTTAAGCAAAACTTTTTTTCTCTCAGGCTCATGTCCAGTCAGGTCGAATGTTTGAATCGCGCCATGTCCACCTGTCCAGTTGAGAGGAAGGCCCTGGTACAAAGCATGTTAAATATGTTTATACTTCCAGATTACCAAAGGACTTGTGGTGCGTAAATATCATATTACAATTTGAGGGGTTTTTTTGTGCCGGGGGGGGGGGATGTCATTTAGATCATAAACGGAAAATAAATGTAGGATTAGGTTCAATGGGTTTGAAGGAAATATAACAAGGTATGTGGAAGTTTGAATCGAAAGACAGGACAGTAAGAGAAGTACAGCAATAACAATGGCGAACACTTAAGTTTATTAACTAGTTTCTATTTCTTGTCGTATTTTCATTTGTCCTGTCTGCTGAGGAAGGCTCTTGGCCGAAACGTTCTTCTCTTATTCTCATTTCTTAAACCAATTAATTGAGACAATTAATTGTTATGTATCTCCGGGATAATTTGAGGACCTTTATGTCAGAACATTTATTGTTATAACATGTAGTATTAGAACATTTATTGTCAGCACATGTAGTGTTAGAACATGTAGTGTTAGAACATGTATTGCTAGAACACGTACTGTTCGAACATGTATTTTTAATAATTTTGTCTGTCTTTGGTGTGGAATATTTATTGTTTTAATCTACCCCTAAAATTGTGTGTTCCTGTAAAAAGGATCGGTCAGCTACTCATTTGACCTGTTTATTATGCAAGACTTATTAATATTGGTTTATAAACATGGTTGATAGTTTTTCTCTCAAATCAACAATTGACGAAGATGAATTTTCTAATTTTATTTTAAATTAGTAAATCATTTTTAGATGTTCAGTGACATTGCTTCTTGTATTCAGTTGTAGATGTTCAATGAAGTTACTTCGTTTTATTCAGTTCTAGATGTTCAAAGACGTAACTTCTTAAATAAAGTAAAATTCCTATAATCGTGTGCTTCTTCTAATTCAAACTCTAGTACACTTCATCAAGGACCCATTTATTCTTGACCAGCCTATCAGTGATATTCCATTGTTTTAGACCCTATCAACCACCAATAAGATGACTAATCACATTCTATTATTTTGGTCCTTAGCAACCACCAATATAATGACTAATCGCATTCCATTATGTTGTTCCCTAGCAACCACCAATATGATGACTAATCGCATTCCATTATGTTGTTCCCTAGCAACCACCAATATGATGACTAATCGCATTCCATTATGTTGTTCCCTAGCAACCACCAATATGATGACTAATCACATTCCATTATGTTGTTCCCTAGCAACCACCAACACGATGCCTAATGATACCCAAACTTTAAGCAGCTTTGGAGTTGTTCCAATGCACTATAACAACAATGGCGTAGTTCCTACTTCCGGGCGGACGCTTCTCGTCTGCACACAAAAGGTCAAGGCCTGCCAAGCTGAATTCAACCAAACCTTCTCCTACTTCGTGACCAACAGAAATATGACTGCTCTTTGCCAGTGAGTAGTTTAACTTTAAGTTCACCCTAGATATGTCATAGAGGTTTTTCAATGTACAACTGACAATACAAGTTTCAGATTGCATCTGTTGAGTGAGTGAGCCTTGACTTTATGTCAAAAGTGAATGCTAATTTAATCTAAGTAGTCGCGGGTGTACAGCAGACTGTAATTCTTACATTTTATCGCAGGTCATTGAAGCAGTATACATTATGTTTTGTGGACCTGTTGTCATCTGAATGCAGCCATCTTGTCCCCAGACACCTGGTGTATAACATGCAGAAACAACACGGCGGCATGTGCTCTGAAGGTCAGTCTAAGTGCTCCACAAAAGCCATTTAATCGTCTTCCGCACTCACTGGTATTTGATTGTACGTACCATTGCAATGTTCATTTTGTTTTATTTACGAAGTTGTTCATCAAAATTTCCCATAATTACAATCATAAAATATCATTGCCCAGAATTACTATCATGAAATAGCATTGCCCAGAATTACTCAAATAAAATAAATTTAACAGAAAGGACAGGATAATATCTAATAGAGTGATCTCTATCACCAGTTTAAGTGAAACACCATGTTGTTCTAGTGTACGTCATTCTGTCCCACAGACGCACAGGCCAATACACAGACTATGATTGAATGCACCAACAAGACAATCAAATGTTACACTTTGTTCAACTCGACCTTCACCCCGGCAGCGAAAGATTACAACTTGAAGGTCATGTGCAGGTTGGTCAGCTTCATTCTTATTTTTTTCCGTATGAAGTAAAAGACATTGTTTTGTCCAGTCAGTTGGATGTAGTAAATTGGCCTGAAGCGATGCAAGTTTTAATCAGCTAAACAAATCTGTGCCATGGTGGTTAGCAGGGGGCTCACCCGTGGTGGTCAGAAGGGGGTTCGCGCGTACATTGTCTAGTCAGTTTGTTGACTCTAAGGCATGGTTTTGCCCCTTTATCAGACCGCTCTCTTTTGAACTACAAAAATGATCGCGACCCCATAGATGATTTCATGGATGGATCAAACAATGCTCGCATGTGGAGATCCAATATAAAACCATTCAAGTAAAACTGGGTAGGTTAATATATCTGACATGTAGGACCACGTAAACCTTGTTTCATTAAAAGCTTGTTTTAAAAAAATAATAATAATAAGTTGTCAGAACAGGCCCAGAAAAAAAATCCGATCGCTTCTCGGCGGGTCAACAAATCTTGATGGGCAGCGGGATATCTGGCTAGGTCGTCAGCCTGGGTTGGGACGGCGGAATATCTGGCTAGGTTGGCAGCCTGGGTTGGGACGGCGGTATGTCTGGATAGGTTGTCAGCCTGGGTTGGGACGGCGGGATATCTGGCTAGGTTGGCAGCCTGGGTTGGGACGGCGGGATATCTGGCTAGGTTGTCAGCCTGGGTTGGGACGGCTGGATATCTGGCTTGGTTGTCAGCCTGGGTTGGGACGGCGGGATATCTGGCTAGGTTGTCAGCCTGGGTTGGGACGGCGGGATATCTGGCTAGGTTGGCAGCCTGGGTTGGGACGGCGGTATGTCTGGATAGGTTGTCAGCCTGGGTTGGGACGGCGGGATATCTGGCTTGGCTTTCAGCCTGGGTCGGGGCGGGATGATTGGTAAGAACAAATAAGAGAGGCGCATGAACAAGACATCCTCAAGGTTAGACTGTGATGAGGCAGTACTTCTGGGGAAACCCTTACAAACAAATGTATGTATATTTTTAAAGTTAGTATTTCCAATATGCTGTAAATTAAACTGAAACTTTGATGATTTCCCCCACCACGCCCCAACACCCCCACACCCCGATCCCCTTTCAGCACCATAGATGAGTACACCAAGTGCATGCAGAACGTTAGCACGACCAACGAATGTGTCCAGTTCACAGCACAAAGTCTGGCCAGCATCGCACAGCTGAAGACACGACACAACGCCTACTGTGGAGACGGTCAGTTGAGTTGGTTGTCCATAATAAGATTTTAAGACCCTGGACAGACCTAAGATGAACACACCGAGGAAAATCCAAACACAAATGTTCCTCAAATTGTAGTCGAGGACGCTCAAAAATTATTTAAAATGTAGACCCAAAAAACAGCATTATTAAAATAGATGTTATCTGTTGTTAGTGCAAGAGCAATTTTTATAAAGTAAATAATTGTAGGAGCGTGCGGTTGACGTACGTGTGGTTGGTGTGCGTGTGGTTTGGTTAAATGTGGTTTGGATACATGGGGTTGAGGTACATGTGGTTGAGGTACGTGTGGTTGGGGTACGTGTGGTTTGCGTACGTGTAGTTGGGGTACGTGTGGTTGGGTTAAGTGTTGTTGGGGTACGTGTGGTTGGGGTACGTGTGGTTGGGGTAAGTGTGGTTGGGGTACGTGTGGTTGGGGTACGTGTGGTTGGGGTACGGGTGGTTGGGGTACGGGTGGTTGGGGTACGTGTGATTGAGGTACGTGTGGTTGAGGTACGGGTGGTTGGGGTACGTGTGGTTGAGGTGCGGGTGGTTGAGGTACGGGTGGTTGAGGTACGTGTGGTTGAGGTACGTGTGGTTGAGGTGCGGGTGTTTGAGGTACGGGTGGTTGAGGTACGTGTGGTTGAGGTACGTGTGGTTGAGGTGCGGGTGGTTGAGGTACGGGTGGTTGGGGTACGTGTGGTTTTGGGTGTGTTTGGGTGGGGTACGTGCGGTTGGGGCACGTGTTCCTGGGGCACGTGTGGTTGGCGTATGTGTGGTTGGGGTACGTGTGGTTAAAGTACGTAAGTCGGCGTATGTGTGGTTGACGTATGTGAGTTTGGGGTACATGTGGTTTGGATACGTGTGGTTGGGTTACGTGTGGTTGAAATAATTCTGAAGTTAGCAAAAGTTGGGCAACGAGCAAGACTTTCCAATCCAATCAAGCTCATCCTTCACTGTTTATGATAATTATTTTTAGTTTAAGTTTGTTGTATCTTGTTCTTAAAAGGTGTTATATGAAGCGAGGGTCACAGGTCATAATCTTTATCTCATTCATTTTATAACAGAATGCAAAATATGATTCATCTACTGTTTAACTTGGTGCAGTTTTTTTTACACAAAGTCAGGGTATTTTGAGAAAATGCACGGCAAATCGAAGTGCTGCAAACAAACCAAAATGAGTTAACTTTTCATTTTCTATTTTAAAAAATTAGGCCTACTGACAGTCTTTATTTGCTGGCCTTTAAAAAATAGGCCCAGAGATAAGCATTTTAACAATAGTCTTACCGACAGTCTTACGCCATACCCGTGGCTCTTTATTGATTAATTTGATTGTCACCTCCGAAAAAAATAATCCCTTTCACCAGAGTTCAACCATTGCGCATGACGCTCGCCAGAGTTCAACCATTGCGCATGACGCTCGCCAGAGTTCAACCATTGCGCATGACGCTCGCCAGAGTTCAACCATTGCGCATGACGCTCGCCAGAGTTCAACCATTGCGCATGACGCTCGCCAGAGTTCAACCATTGCGCATGACGCTCGCTGCGTGACAGCTTGTTTTCACTCAGTGCTATAACTTAAAACATGTTGAGTGGGGGGGGGGGCTGATTGTGAAAAGGAAGCAGACACAGCAGAAGCAAAATGTATATATAAGATATTAGGAAAAGCATTCGAATTCCATTATTGTGACGGGTTAGTGCTGGAAGGAATAGATCAACAGATCACGTGTTTATTGCCGTCTCTTATGTTTAATCACTATTGATCCAATTCTGGCAATATTTTGTAAACTATAAGAAAAATCAATAATTTTTTATATTAGTAAATTAAATCTCATTTCTTTGGATGCAAACCATTTTAATGCACTTCCTTTATATATTACAAATATAACTCGGTTGTACTTGGGACGCGATGTGAACTCATGTACAAAAACAGTATTGTCCAGTAATCATGTCCTTCTCTCCCCGTGTCAGACAATGGACAGACGGCACTGCGCTGTGTCGAGAGTGTGCAGGCCTGCTACGGGACATTCAACAGGACGTTCTTCCCAGCCTTGCATGCTAGTAATCTGACCCGTCTGTGTCGGTAAGCACAGGTCACCATTGTTATCATTGTTATCATTGTTATCATCGTATCATTGTATCATTCCATTTTGTTTGGCACTGTTTAAGCAGTAAGGGGGAACTTTATTTTTATAATGGTATAATCGTCAAGAAATGGTATAATCCTGTTCTAAGGGTAAAATTTCATAATCCTGTTCTGAAGGTACATGTCATAATACAGTTCTGAGTATATAATGTCTTAATCCTGTACTTGGGGTTTATGTCATAATCCAGTTCTAGTGATTTAATGTCATAATCCTTTTCGCCTAATGTCCTAATCCTGTTCTGGTGGTATAATGTAATATTCTTGTTGAGCTTATAAAGTCTTCATCCTGTGTTGAGGATATGACGTCATCATTCTGTTTTGAGGGAATAAAGTCCTAATCCTGTTCCGATGGAATAATGTCATAATCCTGTATAATGTTTTAATCCTGTTCGTCTAATGTCCTAATTATGTTCTGATGGTATAATGCCATAATCCTGTTCTGAAGGTATAATGTTCTAATCCTGTTCTGGTAGTATAATGTCATAATCTTGTTCTGCTGGTATAGTGTCATAATCCTGTTCTGAGGGTATAATGTCATAATGCTGTTCTGGGGGCATAATGTCATACTCCTGATGTGGAGGTATAATATTTTATCCTGTTCTGAGGGTATAATATCCTAATCCTGTTCTGATAGCATATGTCATATACTGTTTTGAGGGTATAACTTCATAATCCTTTGTAGGGGGTATAATGTAATAATACTCTTCTGTGGATATAATGGCATAATCCTGTTTTCTGGGTATAAAATCATAACCCTGTTCTGATGGTAAAATTTCCTAATCCTGTTCTGTGGGTATAATGTCATAATTCTGTTCTGGGTGTATAATTTCATTATCCTGTTCTGGGTGTATAATGTCTTAATCCTGTTCTTAGGGTATAATGTCCTAATCCTGTTTAATGGTATAATACCATAATCTATTATGATGGTATAATGTCATAATCCTGTTCCTAGGGTTTAATGTCATAATCCTGCTCGACTAATGCCTACTCCTATTCTAATGGTATAATGTGATAATCCTGTTTTAAGGGCATAATGTCCTAATCATGTGCTGGCGTTATAATGTCGTGTCATAATCCTGTTCTGATGGTATAATTTCATAATCCTGTTTTTGGGGTGTAATGTCATAATCCTGTTCTGATGGTATAATTTCCTTATCCTGTTCTTTGGGTATAATGTCATTATCCTGTTCTGAGGGTATAATATCATTATTTTATTCTGTGGTATAGTGTCATTATCACGTTCTGGGGGTATCATGTCATAATCCTTTTCTGAGGGTATAATGTCATAATCCTGCTCCTAGGGTATAATGTCATAATTTTATTATAAGGTAAAGTGTCATTATCACGTTATGGGTATCATGTCACAATCCTGTTCTGAGGGTATAATGTCATAATCTTGTTCTTAGGGTATAATGTCCTAATCCTGTTCTGATGGTATAATTTTATAATGCTGCTTTGATGGTAAAATTTCATAATCCTTATTGGGCGTGTAATTTCATAATCCTATTCTGGGGGTAATAATTTCAAAATCCTGTTCTGAGAGTATAATGTCCTAATCCTGTTCTTGGGTTATAATTTCAAATGTAACACTAAAAAATATGGTCACAGGACATTATTTTTGATGCACTGCTTTAATTTAACATAGCAAGGATATATATTGTAAGATCGCCAATGCCCCACCCATGTCTTGACCTCCGAACCCTTGTATCCACAGGTCACTCAACACATTCACCTCTTGTGTGTCAAGACTGAGCCCCACGTGCAGCCAACAGCTGGGTGGACTGCTCAGGTCAATTCAGGTCCTTAAGCTGCAGTATAGAGACAAGTGTCATCCTAGTAAGTCAATGCTTAAATTAACTTTACTCTTATATCATTCAATGGTTCAATAATACCCTCCTATTCTCAACGTTTAACCATTTACCCGGAAACGAAGACTGTGTAGACCACATGTGTCAAACTCAAGGCCTGCGGGCCACATCAGGCAATTATATCCAAGTACAATATCACATCGTAGAATTATATCCAAGTCAACTGTACGGTGTTCACCAATGCACACGTTGCTTAAAAACGTAGCTTACTTCGCGCAGAGTTCGCACGGCGCTTTAATAACTTTGTAGCGAAGAAATGTAATTTCTAGCTGCTTCGTAACCCAATTGTCATAGACGTGGAAACTTCACCTGTAAATTTGCAGATGGAGCTAACAGAGCTGGAGTGTAATGTGACACTAAAGGCAAAGTACGACACTGTGGGGCCTGCACAGCACACTCGTTTCCTTCTGGAAGCTTTCCCCAGGTTCGTACATGGGCTCAAACCTTGAGTATGTTGGGTAGCACATATATGTGTGAGCAGCTGTTTTCTGTGATGAAGATTAACAAAATATCACACAGGAGTCGTCTCACTGATGAACACTTGCAGTCCACCATGAGAATCTCAATGACACGGAACGTTACTCCCAACATAAACGAACTTGTAGCCAAGAAAATGTCCCAAACATCCAGCTCTGACAAATTGGCAAAAGAACGAACATGAGTACGCCAATGATTTTTTATTATTAAAACTTTTTTCTGTTTTCATTTATACAAATGTTGTTTTTTTTAAAAAGATTATTTTTCCGCTTATTGAATCTTTATCCTGTTCGGCCCGCAACCTTATATGTGATTTGAGTTTTTGCCCGCCGAGCGATTGAGTTTGACACATGTGCTGTGGACAATCCACGTGATTATGTTTGTGGACCTGTGGGAAACCTTTTTTGATGAACTGGCCAGGGGCGTGCCCAGGAAGTTATTGAGACCTTTTTGGTTTGAAAATCGTCAATGCACCTTTACACACTAACAGAGATCTGCTCGATAACCCTCAAACTCAAAGGCATAAGTAGAGAGGGGGGGGGGGCACGTCCCTGGTGTAACTTTTTTTTTTTTAAGTAGGGGGAGGGGGGATTTTGAGACCTTTTTGGTTTGAAAATCGTCAATGCACCTTTACACACTAACAGAGATCTGCTCGATAACCCTCAAACTCAAAGGCATAAGTAGAGAGGGGGGGGGGGGCACGTCCCTGGTGTAACTTTTTTTTTTTAAGTCTGGGGAAGGGGGATATTTTGTGTGTGTTTCTCCTGAATAAGTAACAGCAAAGTTAATTACCAACTCTGGTTACCACCCTGACACCTATACACAGAGCGAGTCTAGAAGTTGAAAACTTGACGCATAACGAAACAGATTCTAGACTGGATATTGAAACACGACCATCGACAAAACAGAGGCGAGTCTCGATGTTGAAAACTTGACACACAAACCAGAGCAGGGTGTTCCTATCATCAAGTTAGCTCTCATAGTAAAAGCCAATAATCTCTTGGGAATGTGCAAAGAACTGTGTCTATTTTGTACAGACCTTTCATTGCATGATTGTACTCTGACTGCCTCCGTCAGGTACTCTGCTGCTATCTACCTGTACCCAGGTGGCCAACTGTACCAACTCTTTCATGGGGGACTTTACAAGTTTACCAACAAGTGCTGGACTCTGTGGGTAAGTCAGTGGGTCCTTTGGCTAAGTCAGTGAGCTCTGTGGATAAGTCAGGGGGGCTCTGTGGATAAGTCAGTGGGTTCTGTGGATAAGTCAGTGGACTATGTTGTTAAGTCTGTGGGCTCATGGATAAGTCAGTGGACTATGTTGTTAAGTCTGTGGGCTGTGTGGGTAAGTCAGTGGGCTATGTTGTTAAGTCTGTGGGCTGTGTGGGTAAGTCAGTGGGCTATGTTGTTAAGTCAAAGGGCTCTGTGGGTAGTCAGTGGGCTATGTTGTTAAGTCTGTGGGCTGTGTGGGTATGTCAGTGGGCTATGTTGTTAAGTCCATGGGCTATGTGAGTAAGTCAGTTGGCTATGTGGGTAAGTCAATTGGCTCTGTGGGTAGTCAGTGGGCGATGTTGTTAAGTCTGTGGGCTGTGTGGGTAAGTCAGTGGGCTATGTTGTTAAGTTAGTGGGCTATGTTGTTAAGTCAATGGGCTATGTGGGTAAGTCAGTGGGCGATGGTGTTAAGTCAATGGGCTATGTGGGTAAGTCAGTGAGCTATGTGGGTAAGTCACTGGGCTATGTGGGTAAGTCAGGGGGCTATGTGGGTAAGTCAGTGGACTGTGTGGGTAAGTCAGGGGGCTATGTGGGTACGTTAGTGGGCTATGTTGTTAAGTCAATGGGCTATGTGGGTAAGTCAGTTGGCGATGTTGTTGAGTCCATGGGCTATGTGGGTAAGTCAGTGGACTATGTTGTTAAGTCAGTGGGCTATGTGGGTAAGTCAGTGGTCGATGTTGTTGAGTCAATGGGCTATGTGGGTAAGTCAGTGGGCGATGTTATTGAGTCAATGGGCTATGTGGGTAAGTCAGTGGTCGATGTTGTTGAGTCAATGGGCTATGTGGGTAAGAAAGTGGGCGATGTTGTTAAGTCAATGGGCTATGTGGGTAAGTCAGTGGGCTATGTGGGTAAGTCAGTGGGCTATGTGGGTAAGTCAGTGGGCGATGTTGTTAAGTCAATGGGCTATGTGGGTAAGTCAGTGGGCGATGTTGTTAAGTCAATGGGCTATGTGGGTAAGTCAGTTTGCTATGTCGGTAAGTCAGTGGGCTATGTGGGTAAGTCAGTGGGCTATGTGGGTAAGTTAGTGAGCTATGTGGTAGGTCAGTGGACTGTGTGGGTAAGTCAGGGGGCTATGTGGGTAAGTTAGTGGGCTATGTTGTTAAGTCAATGGGCTATGTGGCTAAGTCATTGGGCGATGGTGTTAAGTCAATGGGCTATGTGGGTAAGTCAGTGAGCTATGTGGGTAAGTCAGTGGGCTATGTGGGTAAGTCAGGGGGCTATGTGGGTAAGTTAGTGGGCTATGTTGTTAAGTCAATGGGCTATGTGGGTAAGTCAGTGGTCGATGTTGTTGAGTCAATGGGCTATGTAGGTAAGTCAGTGATCGATGTTGTTGAGTCAATGGGCTATGTGGGTAAGTCAGTGGTCGATGTTGTTGAGTCAATGGGCTATGTGGGTAAGAAAGTGGGCGATGTTGTTAAGTCAATCGGCTATGTGGGTAAGTCAGTGGGCTATGTGGGTAAGTCAGTGGGCGATGTTGTTGTGTCAATGGGCTATGTGGGTAAGAAAGTGGGCGATGTTGTTAAGTCAATAGGCTATGTGGGTAAGTCAGTGGGCTATGTGGGTAAGTCAGTGGGCTATGTGGGTAAGTCAGTGGGCTATGTGGGTAAGTCAGTTGGCGATGTGGGTAGTCAGTGGGCTATGTGGGTAAGTCAGTGGGCTATGTGGGTAAGTCAGTGGGCTTTGTGGGTAAGTCAGTGGGCTATGTGGGTATGTCTGTGGGTTATGTGGGTTTGTGGGTAAGTCAGTGGGCTATGTGGGTAAGTCAGTGGGTGATGGGGGTAGGCCGTTGGCTATGTGGGTAAGTCAGTGGGCTATGTGGGTAAGTCAGTGGGCTATGTGGGTAAGTCAGTGGGCTATGTGGGTAAGTCAGTGGGCTATGTGGGTAAGTCAGTGGGCTATGTGGGTAGTCAGTGGGCTATGTGAGTAAGTCAGTCGGCTATGTGGGTAAGTCAGTGGGCTATGTGGGTAAGTCAGTGGTCTATGTGGGTAAGTCTGTGAGTTTACCAAATGTTCTTCAACCTCACTATACCATGTAAAGCACATTTTTTTTTCTCAAAACTCAACAGCTAAACTCAGAGTGGCTCTGTGCTAACTCTTTGCAATATTACAATGGCTACTTTTCTTTTATGGGCATGTAAATTTTCCTTAAACATTATATTTCTTCATTACAATAATAAATATTGGTCGATATTTCTAAAGCTTAAAGTTCACTTGCCAATGTATAAAATATGTATTTATACTGTTCATCTAGCGTTTAGAATTATGAACATTTGAACTTTCAAAATTGTGCGATCTCCAGATAACCGACTTTGTAAGAAATGTAGTTAATCAATGGGAAATTATGAATGCAACTAAAAACTGTTGAAATGTGCCAGACACTTTGATTCAATATTTGTGTTCAAATATGCAAGACACTTTGATTCAATATGTGTGTTCAAATATGTCAGACACTTTGATTCAATATTTGTGTTCCAATATGCCCAGGAGTGTAGGCGAATACTTCCAGTGTGTGTCTAAGAGCCTGGAAGTCTGCAAACTTCCTCAATCAACAACGGAAGTCGACTTTGGCGCCTTGGGGACACTGATGCAGGATTACTGTGAAAGAAGTAGGTCAAAACCTGCCCCTTTTTTTTATCCCTTCCCGCAAAATAAGTGATTTTGTTATCTTTTAACAGTCTTAACAACAAAGCTTGCCACTGCTGGAGAAAAGTTATATTTCTAGTTCATTACATTGTCACATTTTTACCGGTCTGAAATTTACTGTCTTTTTTTAAAAAGCATTTGAGTAATGTCAATTTATTACTAAAAGATGTCAATCTATTATATTTAAAATGTTTATCTAATACTAATGATATGTCAATCTATTACTTATACGATATCAATCTAGTACTTATAAGATTTCAATCTTTTAGTTATAAGATGTCTATCTTATCGTTAGAAAATGTCAAACTATTACTTAGAAGATGTCAATATATTACTTATAAGATATCAATCTTTTACTTATAAGATATCAATCTTTTACTTATAAGATGGCCCTGTAATAATGAAACTGAACTGTAATGTGTACAGAGCTGTAAAAAATATGTGACATTTGATACTAAGCGCCCTAATTTTAAAGTGTATTTAACAGTAGGCGCCCTAATTCGGGACAGTAATATGTTTTCATTGAACATTCCAGTTTCCAGCAACCGAAAACTACTTCGCTGTCCGGCGTTCGTCCAGTGCTCAACAGCCATCACTGTGTCCTTCTCTCCCACTGTTAAGAGCATGTACGAGGGCTCCACCTGGTGCACGTGAGTAGCGCGGCAACTCATCTTTATCATCTGCAACAATGTCTGATGAATAATTCACCGTTGAACCGGGGAAAGGGTGGCCAAAATCAAATGCTTTAACCTGGTATCGGTTTATTCTATCAAGGTGTTTTTTTGGAGATGGTATTGATCATTTCAAAATGCCGATAGACAAGCAATCAAAACTGTGCTGTGTTAAGTCGTTATTTTTTTCTTAAATCTTTTATATGAACTTCACTTTTTTGCGTGGATGCTGGCTGGCAGGGGAAATCTTCGGACGGCTAACTGACCGACTTCCCGTCAACATATCGCGCTGAAACTTAGCCATGGAGTCGTTGGTGATGACAGCACATTCTTTCAAATTTTAAGTCCCACCCCAACCCACACTCCCAAAAAAAAAAACACACAAAAAAAACAGTTTTTCATGTTTGTCTATGGGAAGGTAAAATAAAATTCCTTTTCTTTTTTTTTTAAATAATTTAAGTGCGTTTGGTGCGTAATATCTTCTTTTGTTTTTCTGAAAAGTTGTTGAAGTAAATCTGCGGTGAAACAATGGGTAGGATATTACAAGATTTGTTTTAAAATTATTTAAATAGGGATATTTAAAGGATTTCTACGGAAAAGTTTTATTTTTTAGAGGTCGTTAAATTGTCCCCTTCTTTTCGCCTCAGTCTCGGGGTTTGGTGGCATCATGTTAGAATGGTGTCTGTTATAATCCCAGTTTTATGTAGCCTTAAGAAGGTCTCCTCCATTATCTATCCAAGATTTAGCTTATCTGTGTACTGTACACTTGGTCTACTTGGTACTCTTTGTCTACTTGGTACTCTTGGTCTACTTGGTACACTTGGTCTACTTGGTACACTTGGTCAACATGGTAAACATGGTCTACTTCGTACACTTGGTCTACTTGGTACACTTGGTCTACTTGGTAATTTGGTCTACTTGGTACACTTGGTCTACTTAGTACACTTGGTCTACTTAGTACACTTGGTCTACTTTGTACACTTGGTCTACTTGGTACCCTTGGTACTTGGTACACTTGGTCTACTTGGTACATTTGCTCTACTTGGTACACTTGGTCTACTTGGTACACTTGGTCTACTTGTCACATGTTCATGTACACTTGACCTACTTGTCACAGGTTCATGTACAATTGACCTACTTGTCACAGGTTCATGTACACTTGACCCACTTGTCACAGGTTCATGTACACTTGACCCACTTGTCATACTTGACCTACTTGTTACAGGTTCATGTACACTTGACCTACTTGTCACAGGTTCATGTACACTTGACCTACTTGTCACAGGTTCATGTACACTTGACCTACTTGTCACAGGTTCATGCAGCTCAACATCGGATGTGCGGAGCACGCCCTGCAATCCTCCGGTTGTTTCTTGGAGGATGACGTCACTCTCAAGAAGTACGTCACTGAAGTGGACAGGCTTAGGATGACCACGTGTGAGAAAGGTAAGGACAGGCTTAGTATGACCAGAGGTGAGAAAGGTAAAGACAAGCTTAGTATGATCACAGGTGAGAAAAGTAAAGACAGGCTTAGTATGATCACAGGTGAGAAAAGTAAAGACAGGCTTAGTATGATCACAGGTGAGAAAAGTAAAGACAGGCTTAGTATGATCACAGGTGAGAAAAGTAAAGACAAGCTTAGTATGATCACAGGTGAGAAAAGTAAAGACAGGCTTAGTATGATCACAGGTGAGAAAAGTAAAGACAAGCTTAGTATGATCACAGGTGAGAAGAGTAAAGACAGGCATAGGATGATCACAGGTGAGAAAAGTAAAGACAGGCTTAGGATGATCACAGGTGAGAAAGGTAAAGACAAGCTTAGTGTGATCACAGGTGAGAAAGGTAAAGACAGGCTTAGGATGATCACAGGTGAGAAAGGTAAAGACAAGCTTAGTATGATCACAGGTGAGAAAGGTAAAGACAGGCTTAGTATGATCACAGGTGAGAAGTGTGAAGACAGACTTAGCGCGACCACCACGTGGCGAAAGGTCAAATATCTGTGGTCATCGTGATCATCTCAACATATGTTTAATATGGCTTTAAAAGAATTATTGAAGGGTGTAGTCTTGCCATGTGAAGAAGTGAACAGTGCCATACTGAAATAAAATTGAGGTCAGATGATCTTGTTTGTGTGAAAAATGGTAACTGTTATGTCATCAGACCTATTTATCAGGTGGCAGTTGTCGCTGTCATTAGAGTGCTAGCCCAGATATCCTTATGTCCATGTTGAATTTCGATTCCATTTGTTTACAGGTGTAACGGACAGTGGCTACTTGACTCGGGATCTAATTGGCTACAGAGGTAATCTCAATAATTAATTAACTAACTATTAAATGTAGGGAGGCATTAAAGAGGGTTGGAGTGGCGTAAAATAAAATCAATATCTGTAATTCAGCCATAATTCAGCCATAATTCAGCCGATATCTGTAGTCCAGCCAATATCTGTAATTCAGCCAATATCTGTAATTCAGCCAATTTCAGTAATTCAGCCAAAATCTGTAATTCAGCCAATTTCAGTAATTCAGCATATTTCAGTAATTCAGCCACTATCTGTAATTCAGCCAATATCTGTAATTCAGCCAATTTTATTAATTCTGCCAATATCTGTAATTCAGCCAATATCTGTAATTCAGCCAATTTCAGTAATTCTGCCAATATCTGTAATTCAGCCAATATCTGTAATTCAGCCAATTTCAGTAATTCAGCCAATATCTGTAATTCAGCCAATTTCAGTAATTCAGCCAATATCTGTAATTCAGCTAATTTCAGTAATTCAGCCATTATCTGTAATTTAGCCAACATGTAACATAATTTTTTTGAATATTTCCTTTCAGGCGCCGGCTCTACCTGCCACAGATCTCTGACGACGCCACTGATTAGCATCATGATGATGGCAGTGGCGTACTCAGCTTTGTAGATCTGGACATTGTCAACCCCTCAAGTTTTGCTACTGGTTGTTACATCGCTTATGGTTGATACATCTCATGTGTTTGATGCACCTCACATGGTTGATACATCTCATGTTTTTGATAAACATCTCATGTGGTTTAATGCATCTCATGTGATTGATACTTTCGTCGTGGTTGATACATTTTAAGTGGCTGATACATTTCGTGTGGTTGGACCTGTGTGGTCAAGTATCCATGTATTGAAGTATACGTGCAGTGATACAGCTAATAAATGGAAGAAATATCTTTGTGTCACAGTCATAACGCAATTACTTGTGACCCATGAAATTACAAAATGTTGTGAAAACTGTGCTCTTATATCTATAATATTCAAAATGAGAATTTACTTTTTTTAAACTTGATTAAAATGTGCGGATGTAGTTGTTTTAATGGGGGGGGGTGTTCATCTTTAGTGGGAGCGGGGGGGGGGGATGAGGGGTGACCAATGAACACTAGAGATCTTTAACTGGTGTTAACTAGCATGGTCTCTTGTNTTAAACTTGATTAAAATGTGCGGATGTAGTTGTTTTAATGGGGGGGGGTGTTCATCTTTAGTGGGAGCGGGGGGGGGGGGATGAGGGGTGACCAATGAACACTAGAGATCTTTAACTGGTGTTAACTAGCATGGTCTCTTGTTCAATAGAATATCTCTTTTGATAATCGGCATGAGAAGATGGGGAAAGTCGACATTAAGGAATAGGGTTGAGTTTAGAGGAGAAAATTATTTAACGGTGAGAGAATAGCGATGAGGTGACCGGAGGGGTGGGGATATGTCGAGAGGAGGTAATGGTGATATGTTGACAGGAGGGAATGGGGATATGTTGACAGGAGGGAATGGGGATATGATGACAGGAGGGAATGGGGATTACTTCATATGGAGGATTGTGGATGAGTCGACAAGTGAGAATGGAGATGAGTTGCCATGGGGAATTGGGGATATGTCGAAAGTATGGAATGGGGATGAAGGTGTAAAAATAAGGGTGGGTCGGGTGAACATAATGAAATATAACTTTAATTTATCTGCATGCTCCCCCAGCAGTTACCAAATCTAAATGATCACTAATTAATTAAGTCATTATTGCCATTATTGTTCATTGATGGCTGACTTCTACGTTAGAGAAATACTTTAGATGTCTCGTGATTAAATTGTTATAATTGTAAAATGTTGTCTTGGTTAAAAAATATGTATTTATTTATGTTCTGAAATGAATGTGTACAATGTAATTTTTTTTTAAAACATGTCCTTTTATTAGGATCAATTAAGAATATTATCTTATATCATCTTTAAATTATCTTAATAATTGTCAGCTAAGCAATTACTCCCAGACAACTTAGGAAGTCGTCGATTGTCACACAAATCTTTGGTGGTTGATGAAAGCTTTTCACTCGTCATTGCAACCGTAACTTGATATGCAGTTTTATGATTATCTGCTACGTGTGCTTTGTCATGAACAAAGAAAAGTAACAACAGGTAGCGTTGTGAAAGTGACGTCAATCACATCACAATTTAACCCGCGCGCCGTTATATAAATATATTAACATACTATTATCATATATATGTGTTGTGTAAATAAAGTCACATTTTTAAAAAAAAACATTTTAAATGTATGGCATTGTAAATAAATCTTATTGTCAGTGCATTTTATTTTATATTGTTTATTTTATTTTATTCTTTGGGAGAAAAGGGGGGTGGGGGTTGCTTTATTGTCTGTGTCAACAGACAATGCGGTTACCAGGGGGAAACTTTTGTGATGGTACTTAATACAACATATGGCATGGCAAAGTGTCTCTAAATGTGACTTGGTCCACCAGTCAGTTACACCTAACGTCCACCTGTCAGTTACACCTAACGTCCACCTGTCAGTTACACCTAACGTCCACCTGTCAGTTACACCTAACGCCCACCTGTCAGTTACACCTAACGTCCACCTGTCAGTTACACCTAACGTCCACCTGTCAGTTACACCTAACGATATGTGACTAGGTCCACTAATCAGTTACATCTAACGTCCACCTGTCAGTTACACCTAACGATATGTGACTAGGTCCACTAATCAGATACACCTAACGATATGTGACTAGGTCCACTAATCAGTTACACCTAACGATATGTGACTAGGTCCACTAATCAGTTACACCTAACGATATGTGACTAGGTCCACTAATCAGTTACACCTAACGATATGTGACTAGGTCCACTAATCAGTTACACCTAACGATATGTGACTAGGTCCACTAATCAGTTACACCTAACGTCCACCTGTCAGTTACACCTAACGATATGTGACCAGGTTCACTAATCAGTTACACCTAACGATATATGACTAGGTCCACTAATCAGTTACACCTAACGATATGTGACTAGGTCCACTAATCAGTTACACCTAACGTCCACCTGTCAGTTACACCTAACGATATGTGAATAGGTCCACTAATCAGTTACACCTAAAGATATGTGAATAGGTCCACTAATCAGTTACACCTAACGATATGTGACTAGGTCCACTAATCAGTTACACCTAAAGATATGTGAATAGGTCCACTAATCAGTAACACCTAACGATATGTGAATAGGTCCACTAATCAGTTACACCTAACGATATGTGACAAGTTCCACTAATCAGTTACACCTAAAGTCATTTGACTAGGTCCACCAATCAGTTACACCTAATGTTATTTTAATAGGTCCACCAATCAGTTACACCTAATGTTATTTTAATAGGTCCACCAATCAGTTACACCTAATGTTATTTTAATAGGTCCCCCAATCAGTTACACCTAATGTTATTTTAATAGGTCCCCCAATCAGTTACACCTAATGTTATTTTAATAGGTCCACATATCGATCACACCTAACGTCATTTGACCAGGTCCACCTATCAGTTTATACGTGACGTTAAAGACTGTGGGTAGTGGGCCTACCTCAGCATGGCTATTTATAATTATTAGTCTTTATGTTCTGGCCAAAACCCGAAGTCAGCCCATTCGGGAACTGACCGGCCGCTTAGGTGAATGGTTAACTTTGCTGTACATGGTCAGGCCGAAGTCCGATATTGTCATTACTTTGCTATTTGGCCGCTAATTTGCGAAATGGCATGAGGCGGTCGACTGGGTTTTTAGTGATGTTTCTCCTCTGCTCAGAGATTCAAGTGTGAGCAGTTTCACGAGCGTAAATGAAAATTCACTTGTGTAACAGGCACTGTTTGAGAACAACATGTTCTATTTTAAACAAGTAGAAAGTGCCATCCACGTTCATGGCAACTGCAAGATAGTTCTGCATCATTTAGGCCAGGAATTTTCCACCACTTCGTAAAACTGGCCAAAATTCGGGCTTTGGCCATGACACTTAAATTATTGTGGTTGGGGAAAGGTTTATTGGGCCATAAAATGTACATTGGTGTGGTTGGGGTAAGGTTTATCTGGTCAAAACACTTGCATGTATGTGGTTGGGGTAAGGTTTATCTATGTCTTTGTGACAATCTTGCCATAGTGACTTGACTTGTTGATTACATCCGAGGTACAAGACGTTTATACATATACACTCATTGAATGCAATTGTATTTGAGATAATATTCAAAATACATACTGTAAGACGACATAAAGGTTTGTGCTAAATCCATTGTTTTGCTATTTATAGCTCTGGGCTTCTCTTTGCTACATACATTGGTTTTCGCACATCTAAACATCTCTTTATTTCAATACACACGTGTCTCTCAGCCTCTCACATACTCTCTGTTATCTTGCTTCTGTTACATGTAGGAAATTGCTGACTCCTCTCTACAATTTATGTATTTTTAATTTTTAATGTGATAAAAATGACAACTCCTTAAAGAACTTTATCACTACTGATATTGCCCGCTCAGAGCTGCGCTAATCCTAACTACGCCACTGCGTATATGCGCTGTCCGAATGTTTCCCTTAATGGTGTGCATCCCCCAATTTTACACTCTGACTTTGCTGTGTTGTACATTGGACGCGTACTAAAGGACTGCATGCTAACTAAGATGTGTGCGCCAAATTGTCTTAGGGGCCATCCATAAAATCTGCGTTAGAAACATTTCCCTAAAACAAAGGTTCTCAAACACCGCCTAGTGGCACCCTGTGGAGCCGTAGATTCATTACAGTTGCGACGTGAAATAAAAATTGTTTGCCGAAATATTCGCTTTTGCACTGTGCACTTATCAGAATTTGATACAGTGCGTCGTGGGCGTGGGGCACCAGGATGTAGCATGGGCGCCGTGAATGGAAACCTGGATGAGGCATGGGCGCCATGAATGGAATATGTTTTGGATTCTCAGCGCTAGAACATTTACTACTTTTCGTTCCTTCCCATTTCACAAATCCCTGATTCTTAGACTCGCGTCTTGCTCTTTTCCGACATAATTTTACTCTTCTGTCAACATCACCGCACCTTCGACTCTCCTTGTTCATGCTATCCTGTATTTTAGGGTCGGTTAAGCCAGATGGCATAAGAGGTGGGAAAGTACTATAAGTATTGTATCATTTTATGATCGGTTAGGCAAGATGGTGGCGGAGATGGGAAGGTGCATTAAATATTTTAGGGGTCAGTTAGGCAGATGCTAACGGTCAGGAAGTATAAAATTGACAAATGGGGAGATTTTTTTATATTCAGACGAAGAAGATGAAAATGCACAAAACACAATGAGAGTAAATATGCTACATTCTCCAAGGCTGAATATTTCCTTATAAAGTGGCAAACAGCTGGGTCAAGGATAATAACCGAAACATTTAAAACATTCAACAAGGAAATTAATTTCTATGTGGTGTAGTGCTACGATCCTACTAACGATTAAGAAGAAGAGATCAAGATTACAGACAGAAGTAGATACAAGAGACAAAGATATGACGTTAATAATGGCATACATTGCCATTTAAATATAAAATTATAATACAGTGTATAGGATATGGGCATATTATGTGGAGACATGATCTTGGAAGGCAGGATACGAGGAGATTATAGGGAGACATGGCCTAGGAATACAGGATACGGGTAGATTATGGGGAGACATGGTCTAGGAATATAGGATACGAGGAGATTATGGGGAGACATGGCCTAGGAATACAGGATACGGGTAGATTTTTGGGAGACATGGCCTAGGAATACAGGATACGGGTAGATTATGGGGAGACATGGCCTAGGAATACAGGATACGGGTAGATTATGGGGAGACATGGCCTAGGAATACAAGGTTACGAGGAGATTATGGGGAGATATGGCCTAGGAATACAGGATACAGGGAGATTATAGGGAGACATGGCCTAGGAATACAGGATACGAGGAAATTATGGGGAGATATGGCCTAGGAATACAGGATATGAGGAGATTATAGGGAGACATGGCCTAGGAATACGGGATACGAGGAAATTATGGGGAG